CAAAGGATGAAACAGGGAGAAGATAAATTGTTTTTTGTACCCCTTAGTGGCCGGACATCAATGCTGCAGCTTTGAAAGCTGTCTTTCCAAAAGCCATGAGGAAAAAAAAAATGCAGAGATCAGGATTGCAGCTATACATGGGAGAGGAAATACGTTAAAAGGAAGCTTTTAATGAAGGAATGGATGAAAGACTTCCAACTACAGGATATTAACGTTCTTATTATGTATACTCTTATTGCAAAGTGGAGGAAAGGGGTGGGAAGGGAGAACCCTCCTTCAGAGACCTGGAAACTCTGCGACACTAAAAATGAATTGAATGTATTTAGTACACGGTACAGTTTGTAATGATTCTCTTTGCACACTTTCTTCTGGACTCTAAATGTTTAAAAAAATCAGGTAAATCATATCAAAGACCTAGGTTTGCTGAATTACTGATTTTTTAAATGCCACATGAAGCAGGTAGGACCCATTTTGCAAAGTAACAAGCAGCAGCGCGCACTTTTCCAAATGCCATGCAAGGAAACCGGCAGATGACCAGGTGGGGGCAAGTAACACACACAGGTACGTGGCCTCTGTCTTTCAGCTTGGTCGACCGTCTGTAATTCAAGTGCCTGCTTCGCTTCCAAGCTATGCACAATCACACCACAGAAAAACAAAGTCAGAGTAAGGAGGGCCAAAGTCACTACGGACACAGTAAGTGCTTTCCCTGATATTCCTCTGTGTGAAAGAAGAAAGCCAGCACCCATCTTCATATCCCAAATAATGAAAGGTTGCCAATCAGCTATATTTGCTGAGAAACCAGCAGACACATGACGAAAAGTTGTATTTTACAGAAATACAAGGACAAACATGGTTTTCCTTAACATGATATTAGACAAGCAAAAGTGAAAAGTGAAAGGCATCTAAAGCCATGTGGAACGAGGGCAGAAAGAGAGGAAAAGTTTTAGCTGTGTACTCGACAGCAGTGTTTGTGGACCAGCCATAACTTTCAAGATGTCAACTGAAGACGGAAGGGTACAGGTGAATCTTGATTTACCATCAGGAACCAGAGCTCATTTCTCAAGTCAAAGGGACATCTCTTTCTGTCACAGCAGACAGTGGTGACTGAAACTAGAAGGCTGCATGGGGATAAGACTCTCTGCACTGGAGGCATCAAGAAAGCGTTATTTACTTATAGAGAATATTAAAAATAATAAGGCCGTTAGACAAAAGCAGGGCAGGCAAGATGTAGAGGAGTTAACAGAATAAGGAGATATGCCTAATTCCTTTCCTTGAGGAGTTATTTCTGACTCCAGTGGAACCTCCGCATCTCTATTTCAGGGAGTCAGACATGGAAACAGACTCATCAAATGACTGACACAACCGGCTACTCTCATAGTCAGAGAATTGTTCACGTTTCAGTTCCCTTTTTAATGTGAAGCAAACTGGACACTAGACACACCGTGACACTGCCATGGGAGGTCTATCCCATTTACACAGTCACAGGCAGTTTCGGAGTAGAAGGGAAAAAGCAAGGCTTCACCAGTCTCTACGCTCTATGACCATCCTTACTGATATTGCAAGCCCTAAAATATTAATTTACATAGCGTAGTCACCTAATTACTTGATCTCGTTCTTTAGAAACCCTGAAAACAGAACTGTGCGTGTCTCAGAATAATTTAAATGAATTAGCAGAGAATATCTTTGAGAGGATAATTTGCCAACACACATTTTTTAAATGCATTTTGTCCTTCGGATTTAGAATTTTTATGTCTATGTTTCAGCAAAGGAGTCCTTTATAGTCTACAGAACTGGAGATACAATGCTGTGTAAGCTCAATATACCAATTATGGTTACTTTACATTAGGAAGATTTATGGCTTTTTTTCCCTAAAACTATTTTGATGCTGTTTCGGCTTTTCATTACATACACACATACATACAACACCACTTTATTTTAAGCCTGTGTCTTTGCATCCCCATACATATTAGAAATAGAGCAGCTGAAACAAAACTTTTGCGCACTGGAGCTACCTGAATAACATTCACCGGAATTTGGGACACGGTTGAGAACCGGGGTTTGACCGGAGCCCAGCCCTGCGGTACCGTCTCCACCTCAGGTGCGTGCCTGCATCGGGGCCAGCACCAGGGCATGGCCCTCTGCTCTGCCCGTTGCATACAGCAGATTCAAATGGATCATCATTAACTTGTTCATAGTTGGAAGAAACGCGCAAAGGTTAATGCCTTCTGCAAAGTCACACATACGTAGAAAGGCAACAGCTAAAATGAAGAGAGATGTGCGTGTACAACTAGCACCTGCTCCCAAACGGCTGCATGTGCCCCATGCATGTTCTGCACATCCCACAGCTCCAGGCATGAGGCTGCTGTTGGCAAAACCACTACTGATGTGAGGCAAGCTGCAAGAAGGGCTTTTGAGGAGGTTCTGACATAGCTTTGAGAATAAAAATCAGAGTAGGAGAAGACAGTTATATTTATGAGCCTCTTGTGTGACTGTCTTTGACTTCCCATTTGAGCATCTCAAAAAATGTTTACGTCGGCTACATTAAATAAAACAATTTTAGTTCTGAACAGTATGACAAGTTTATACAGCACAGGAAAATTCTGCTCCCGTTACCTGCTTTGAATGTTGCTGGCTTTTGTCAACATCTATAAATATATGTATGAATAAGAAACATTACTTGCCACCATAAGTTAGCAAAACTCTCTCTTGGTATTAACCTCCCGCATTGATTTTTAAAAGCCTCTCTCGGTTAGCACTGGCACACCTTCCTTAGAAGAGCACAAAGAATTAAGACATGAATTTTCATTTTCATGTTATATCTAGTAAGCATAATCACACTGATAAATTAATTACAGAGTGTTTCCCAAAATGTGTGTAATGTGATTTTGAAATATGCTTAAAGTGTCAAGCACTGTTTAAACATTTTTCTATCTTCTTTTTTTGGGGGTAATCTTTAGCACTACCATCAGCAATTTTGGTACATAAATCCAAGGAGATATACAGAGTAAACCGAACGAAAGAAACCTACCTCCAGGTCATTTGCCTGCCCAGCAGCTACAAGAAAAATAGACGCTACCCAGAAAATGTATTAACTGTGCTATGCACAAACTGCATTGCTGTTACAGCAGTCACCACATGGCACCAAACACTTGCTCCCCAACAGGCAGAGTAATTTAAGAAAGAGACAAGCTAATTAGCTCTAATTTCAAAGAAAAGGACAGAATATGAAAATACAAAAAGAAAGGTATTAATGAAATTTAGCAACTTTAAGCTAATTCTTGGAAACTGCATTTTAAAATATTTATGGGGAGAAAAAATACATAAATCCCAAATATAATGTGGCTGTCTGGGTTTCTGGCATGGCAATCGAATGCTCTGCCACTCTTCTGGCATTGCGCTGGGAATAGGGGAAGCATTTCTTAAATCTCTGAGGCTTGGGCAAGCACACTGGCGTCTTTAATCGACCATCTGAGATCGAGTAAACACTACGGTCTGTTTAGCCACGGACTATGGATAGCTATGCAAAAACATACACAAGAACAACTCTAAGCAAAAAGTTATTGAACATTCATGGGCAAGAAACAGGTGTTTTACCAGAAAAGAAGGCAAAGACAATTTCTCAGCTTTCCCCTCCCAAACAGCTTAGTAGCAGCATGTGAACAGCAAGACTGTTCACACGGACATCCTGAAGAAAAACTACTAGTATCAGCCTGCAGATCAGTGCTGCGGAACATTTCATTTCCCTGCACCCAAAACCGCCTCATTTACATGTGCACCAAGTAAAATTTATGGTATACTTTTCTTTTTAATTAAAAAAAAAACCAAAACAGTCTTGCAAAGGTCCCCACTGCTGCAGCTGATCTAGCTAGCCTTGCCACCGAAGCAGCCGTTCTCTTCAGGCAGTGTTTTCTCTCAGACTGGCAGGGGACGCTGTTTCTGGAAATGATCTTTGTGCTTCAGGAAACCGGTGGGCAAGAAAAAAGCATGGCTGATCATCTAACAGAGTTTTTAGTTGCTGGTGACAAGGTATATATTACATAGTATGATTATTACAAACACATATCTAAAATCTGTCACGCTAGCCATCACATTGACTTAACTTTCTGCACAGTAATGTGGAAGAATATTTTACAAAATACCAAAATATTAGATGTTAGTCTTAGTGGTTGGGAATCTCTCTGAATTATTCAGTGCAGAATCCATACAAGAAGTTACAGTAAATTTTAGATCAACAGCCCAAACTGCCAGACTCCTGAAGAAGTGGTTACAGAATCCACTTCTGGAAGGGGAACCAGCTCAGAAAGTCTCCCCTCCGTTCCTTGCCCTCTCCTGTTACAGTTCATCCCTTTCCCGAGTTGTAACTTCTCTGGTCTAGCATACAGCAAAGCCTTAACAAGTACTGGTGTCTGCACTGCTGAGGGGCAATGAGGCAAGGCAGACAGGGGCAGGAGGGCAGAAATCTCATCACACAAAAAGAGGAATGACACTGCTCCCTGGGTTATCAGCACTGATTACTTTCCTACCCTGCAGCACTTTGCAGCAAACTGTTTTATTGTTATGCAGTTCCTACCCCTGATTTTCTTTATGTCTTTAGTCCTCAAACTGATCTTTTTTCTACTTACTTTGTTTACAATAAGAAACCGTTGTATTCCTTCTTTATTTCAACTCCCTTCCCCCTGCCCCCCTGCAACTTCTTGTATGCTCTTAGGAATACAAAATATACAGTAAAGTTGGAAAGTTCACAACATGAATCACTCTGGTATTACTTCTAAATTTCTACCAGCAAAAAATGCTGTCTTTCCATATATGACACTACTGAAATAATGGTATTGAAGTGGTATAAATAAATGGCTATTTCTTTCATCATAGTTTGCACCCATCATTACGCACTCCAATTTGCTTTCTGTTTATCTTTCTTCTCAAACATTGACATCGGTATTGTTGCAGACAAATCCTCCCATGTACAGAAGAATAAACAAGTGATTAAAAAAAGTACTAACCTTCGCTGACAGGAGTTGCACAGCCTTCAAGGTTCAACATTATATCTTCATCTCTGTCATCTGCACCGGCTCCCAAAAGCATCCAACTCTCAACGTTATCACTTTCAGATATCAAGCTGTCCTCCTCCGAGCTATCATCTATTACCAACACGTCTTGGATGGCATGAGCTCCAGCAGAACTAACTGGGTTAAGGTTCCCAGTAGTGCTTTTCCTTTGCCTTGAAATGTCTGTGCCTGATCCAGCAGGATACAGGGTATTACATCCAGCAGCTTCGGCATGATTTGGTGTGGAAGATCCTGGCTGGATATGTATTTTACCTTGAGCTAAAAAGCTTGTTGACTTCTTTACTTTGCTTTTGTAAACACTGTCTTCATCTGGTGAATCAGACAAGATGATGATCTCAGGGTCGTCTGAAAGCTGAGCACCATGGTCGATGAATTCAGTGATTTTCTTGTCTTCATGCTGTTTCTCAGTTAGAACGGAACTATGACCTGTGACTCCTGTAACATCAGCTTCTTCATCCGTTTCCAGTGTGCTGATTTCTCCAAGATTTTGGGAATAGTGGATCTGGCTGTAGAGATGAAATTCCACCTCACTATCAATACTCTGCTCACTGGATGACTCCTCGTGATAAAGTTCATCTTCATACACTTCAGTATCCTCGGCGTCTTCATATCCAACAAACATTCTGGAAAGCGAATAGTCTGTATCTACTAAAAACCAAAAGGTTGTATCAGAATGGTCATGAATGTATGCCCAAACCCATCTTTCAAATTACACCTTTGGTCTTTCTGAAATTGCTAAGGTTAGTCATAGAGCTCTGCGTACAGAAGATAAAACTGAGCAGACTTAACAGCTACAACTATCAATGCTCAAATCCATAATAGCAAAAGCTACTTAAAGGTGCATCTGCTTTAGTCTTAACTACTACTTTAACCTCAACTACTTTGGCTTCTGAAAGTTGCACTTAATGTGCTCCCAGCTTCCACAGCTCCTCTCCGTCCCAGGTTCAAAACCAGGGTACCTGCATGGATTGGGAGCCAAATGAGTGTCTGAATCCGAATTTTGATTGTTCTGCCAACTAGTATTAATTCTGGGTACTTTGCAACTTGTTTTACTAAGTAACATCTTACGTACGTGCCTGAAAGAGCAGGGAAGGAACATTCAGCAATATTTGACAGAAGTAACTTAGAGCCTATCTACATCTGGGCTGCAGAATCATCTGAACTGGCACTTCAGAATTTAACCCTATGACGAGAAGTGCTAGGGCTATGATAAAGAAGCACCCAGACGCGCTCTGCACAAGCTCAGGTCTGAAGGTAGCATAAAAAATTAATAGTAAAGGTAGTATACAGATCTGCAGCCTTCATACAAACTAGCATGTCACACTGTTCTATCAGGACGTACAAACTGAGTTACAATGCCATGAAAATGCAACTACAATGCTCTTAGACCTGAGGAAGATATACCTGCAAACAGCGTCTGCCCAGCTCAGTGCTAGCTATGGCAACTCTGTGCTGCTACCAGTTAAGCAATAATTATCTACAACCTTTAATGGCCTTTTTGGTGGATCTAGGACTAAAGCCCCAATTTCCCTTCTCATGTACTCAGCGATACTGCTTTTTAAACAAATACACTATAAGAGCTGGCTGATGGGACAAAGTGCACCCTCAGCAAGTTTGCAGATCATGCAAAATCGGGAGAAGTGGTTAACACACCAGGTGGTTGTGCTGCCATTCAGAGGCACCTCAATGGGCTGGAGAAGTGGGCAAGAGAGGATCCTCATGAAGGTCAACAAAGGCAAATGCCAAGTCCTGCACCTGGGAAGGAGACAGGCTGGGAGCCCACTGCCTGGAAAGCAGGTTTGCAAAAAAGGATCTGGGGATGGGACAAGTTAACCGTAAGCCAATACACTTTTGGGACAAAAAAACATCCTGGGCTCCTGAAAAACACCACGAGCAGGGTGAGGGAGGGTATCCTTCCACTCTAGTCAGCGCTCATGGGACCACATCTGGAGTGCTGTGTACAGCTCTGGGCTCTCCAGTACTAGAAAAGATGGACATACCGGAGTGAGTGCCGCAAAGGGCCACTAAAATGATTAAGGTATTGGAGCATCAGTCATATGAGGCAAGGCTGAGACAGCTGGGACTGTTCATCCTCAAGAAGAGGAGGCTCAGGGGGGACTTATCAATGTACATAAATACCTGATGGAGGGGGGAGTAAATAAGACAGAACCAGGCTCTTCCAAGCGGTGTCCAGCAACATGACAAGAGGCAGCAGACACAAAAAATAAAATACAGGAAATTCCACTTAAATATAAGAAAAACCCTTTTTTTACTCTGTTGCCCAGAAAGGCTGTGGAGCCTCCATCCTTGAAGATGTTCAAAACCCAAATGGACATGGCCCTGAGCAAACTGCTCTAGGTCAGCCTGCTTTGAGTCACGGGGTTGGATGAGACAATTGCCAGAGGTTCCTTCCAACCTCAACTATCCTGTGATCCCAACCCAATGGCGAGTGTCCCTAGAGTTCACTACCTACTCCCTACCAAGACAGGAAATCCAGAGACATTCTGAAGTTACTTTGCTTAATTCACGGGATACATTATTTCATTTACATGACCACATCATGCATGGAGGAGAGGAAAGGGAATACTTTCTCTGAAAAGTCTATCTTTGTTTCTGTGTCGCAGTTACTCCTAGGGAAGCCAACAAGCTCTTTAGACACGAAAACTGTCAGATGGAGTTCAGTTTTTTAGTTTTGGAAGGAAGTTGCATGGTATTGTTTAAATTCACATACTGATACACAAGTACAAAAATTTAGATTCAGGAGCTTTGTACATAAATAATTTGTGCAATTATGGTATTTAAAGAACACGAAGTCTCTTATTATGACAGCTTTCTGTGCACACTCTGCAAGAGTCCTTCCCTGATCATGACAGATTTTACCTCATTTGTATTCCTGTTGTACCAGAAGTCAAACTAAAGAGGAAAACACTTTTCCCGCAAAAATAAACAAAGCAAAACCACATAAAACATGAGCACACAAGCAGGAAAATAGAATGCTTACTGACAATCCATACACTGTACCCTTTCCTGTTTAGGCTTCCAGTAGATCAGCATACATCATTCAATCTCACCTGCACGGCTAAAGAAGTCACTTCGGTCATCGGCAGCTGAGATCGCATCCAAAGACTGTCAGAACCCTACTCATCCATGCACGTGCTCAGCTCTGCTATCTCCTAATGCACTCAAGTTGGTTTCTAACCTACAAATACAGTCCTAAAACTTAAGAAGTGGAGGTTATAGAATCTGTTTGAAAAGCTCTCCTATCCACAAGATGACTATAACCTCCTGGAAACTTTTACACCTGCCAACACAGAACTCTGCTTAGCAGCACAATGCATGCAGCAATAACTTGAGGATAACGTGGACATATCTGTATCTTCTAGACTCTGCCTCTCTCATCCGGCTTCCTAGGTAAATATTTATTATGCCAAATAAAGTACGAAAGAATGCAATCAGAACTTGGTGGTAACAGACACAATAAACCTATTTTACACCAGTGTTTAGGTTTGTATGCCATAGGTAGGAGGGAAAACTAAAGCGCTGGTCACCTGAACAGTTATAGGTAGTAAAAAATGTAAGACAGAAAAGCACCTGACAGACCAATTGGAGCACCCATACTTAAACATTCCTCTCAACTTCACGTGGGGTCACTCTTTCAAACAGGTCTTAGCCTGTTCCCATCCATGGGGTGAGAATAAAAGCAGAGCTGGCTCCAATCAAGCACATTTATAGTGTTAATCTGTGGTTAGGGGACGTGAGAAAAGAGACCTTCAGTTACGTAGGAAATGAGAGAATCCCCCTGAAGCATGCCGCAATTTTAGTGATACTCGAAAAGCCAACTTAATTCAAGCACACTTTACTTCCCATTCTGTCATCCGCTGGAAGAAGTTACACAAAATAAGTACATGACCATTGCTGAAAACATGCAGCTAAACAAGAGTGCTGGATCACGAGTGTCTAAGAGCGCCCAAGGAGCTGACTCACGGACGCTTCGTAACGAAGACAACAGTAAGAAGAGGCAGCACTACACTACACTTACTTTGAACTTACTTTCCTGCCCAGAAGCTCAGGTCAAACAATGGCTCCTCCTCCTCTCAGGTCCACGCACGACTGGAATGATGAAGGGCTCTTCCTCTTGCTCAGCATGTATGGCAGGCCACTGAGAAACATCAAACATCAGCGTCACAATGCAGTCTGAAGATATCTAGTTCCACTGTTCACCATCCTCAAACTCAGGCAATAGCTATGCCCCACCTCTTAATCACAGAGTGAGAAACACCTGTTTCAGGTGTTTGGCATCAAAGCAGACAAAAACACTGCCTCTAGGAAGGGGGAGCTCAACAGACAAAGTTGTGCTGTTTCTCAGACTGTCAAAGTGAAGCAGTGTCTTACTGTATTCATACTGATACTCAGATAGAGAAAGACATATCTGACTGCCAGTCTTCAGCAATTTAGATTTCCTTTCACCAGTGAAAGGTTTAGACTATGGGCAATCATCCTTTTTGCTACCAGCTAGACTATGACAAAGACATCCCTCACATTTAAGTGTGAAAAACCACATTAAAAATAATAGTCCTGCACAGAGTAGCTGATTTGATAGGTAATACAGGCTGCAGAGAGCATAACACACTGATGTATCATACTTTGGAACTGGCCTGCCTTACTGTTAAAAAAAAAATCCAAACTTCAAACCCTAGGCCACGGGAAAACCCCATCCCTTCATCAAGAGGAATCCCACTCCTACCTGAACCCAGAGCACAACTTTCCTCAAAAGTGCCTGACGGCCTCTCTGGTAGGCCCTGAGTAAGAACAGTTCAGGTAAAAGGCTAATGATTTCATTAAAAATTTTAAAAAATCACAGCTATCTGAATTTCTTTTAACCATTTCTGAACAAAACTCCAGATGGCTATAGTTAGAAATGGTGGGAGTTCATTTCCCCATATCATTTACAAAGACTGCTTGCCAGCACTTTTAATCTAGTCCATTAAAAAACCCAACATCCCCCACTTGATAAAGTAACAAAAGTTGGCTGCAGCACAGCGCAGTCAGAAGGGAGGTGCTGACGGCGACTTGCAGGCAGGGAGAAAGAGCACAAACAAGTTAATCAGAACACCCACAGCAATTTTCAAGTTGTGTGCAGGCAGCTACTCCCTCAGCCAAAATTTGAAAACAGTTTGGGACACTCAGATATAACATATGTGCAGAAGGGGCTTTGCATAAGGGTCAGTAAGATGTCCTTCCTATGCCATTCCTTCTGCTTCACACACCTTGTTTCTCCCTACCAACTCCTCCTTTCCTCTGCTTAACTTCATTACTTCTGCTGCTCTTACTTTTTCAACTCCTAAAGTCTTTCAGAGCTCACACAGTAACCATTTTCTCTCTTCCTCTTGCCATTCAAAATATGCATTCTGCTTAACCTCAAATATTCAGATTTCTTAAAAGAAAAAACTCTCAAACAAAGAAAAAATGAATTGCAAAAAAGATTACTTTTTCATCCTTTGCAAATATGACTTCTCAGGCAAATGTACTATTCCCACCACAGATCATCAGTGAATTCCAGGTATTTCATTTTTCTTGCTCTCGGCTTGATCTTTGCAGTAATGTCAAATCTAACACTTTATGACAAAGGCTGCATTCAAAATACAGCAACAAATGTATTCTTTGCTGTCTTAGGAGCTAAAGACAAAACATAACCCTATCATTAGACTCTCTGTTACAGATAAGAACAACAATAAAATGGAAAAGAGGAAATTACCAACAACTTCCCAAAACCACATGTATCTACCAGAACAGAGTTTCAGACATCCAAATGGTAGGAGACATCAACAGATTTTATAGCTGTGTGCAGACTAGGCCTTTTCTCAGTTTTCTATTTACTCATATTTGTGATACATAAACTGCCTAGAACTTCAGACTGTTAAGATACTGCACAGGTACAACCAACGTGAAATTGATAAAGAACTTAAATGTTCAAATGCAGTTTTAATGAAATCTTTCATTTCAGCTGCTGTAACTGCTTTTGTACCCTTCATCAGAAGTTGCATACCTCTTTTTTGGGAGAGATAAGCAATCAAAACTATTGTTATGAAGTGCAGCACCAAAATGAAAATCACATCTTTGTTCTTCTTGCTACCCTACAAAGGAATGCAAATGTCAAATCTGAATGGATTTTTTAAAAAAAAACCAACAACATATGGTTGTTATTATCAGAGTTCAATGTCAGGAGACAGTTTTTTTTTTCTTTACCTGCACTGTGTTTCTGCACCAAACGTAACATAGATCTTTTTTTGGCTTATGGGGATAACCAAGCTGCACTCAAAGCAGATGAGAAAGAAACAGTATTTTCGTTTGCCACCCAAGGTGAGATGTGCAGCCGTTAGACAACTAGAGCAGCTCCCCACACCGACGTGCTCAATCTAGAGTAGAAATGTCCTTATAGTGACACATGGAAAAATGTCATGTCCAGGGCAGCCACCCCCTTGGTTTTCACGAAGCGAACCCTGAGAAGTACGTACTGTACCTATCCTCTCAGTTTCAAGTAGCCAATGAAAATGTGGACAGCGCCATAACGCTGATCTAAGGGTGACATTTGCTATTAGTTATTTTTGGCTAAACTTTGTCACTCGTTTCTTCCAAGGATAACTTGTGTTGCTCAATGCTGAGATGTAAACCTCGTTCTTCTGTTGATTTGCTGTGTGTTTGAGAAAATGTTTCTTTTCTGTACTTTCTTTAAATACAGTGCAAACAAGTGTAAAGGAGAAAAGAAAAGCTTTGGAGAAGAGCTAAATGTTTTTCTAGTGACAAGCTATACCTTCAGGACATCACAGGAATGTATCTTCCACACCCAAACCCTGGAAAATAACAAAACATTCGAAGTTTACTTCAAGTCTTTTGGAGTATTTTTCCCCCTAGCAAATTTCAGAACCGTGTTTAACAGTAACTGTGCAAACATCCTCAAACTAATAGATTTGCTTTTCCTTAAATCAAGACTGAATTTGGTGTGGTGACCTGAACACAGCTATGCCAGCGTGAAAGAAATACAGATCCTGAGTATCTGGAGCGGCAAACGGGAGAAAACAAGGAGTCAATTCACACGCACACCGCTGACGGTCGTGCCATACGGGGTACCACTCCAGGCCACGTCTAAGCGAGACCTTAACGGCGGCGAACCCCCTCCCCTCCTGGCCAGCCCTCTCTGCAGAGCCCCTCACACCGCACCGCGACCGAGCCCGAAGCCGCTCGTGGGGGGAGGCGCGCTCGTTTAAGCACCGGGACGCGCTGCAGCCAGAGACAAACACGGACACGAACACAGGGACTCGCACGTGTTTAATGGCAAGGAGGTTTTGAATTTAAGGTGCTCGGCACCGCTAGAGCCCGCGCCACCGCAGCGGGCAGAGCCCAGCCACCTCCACGCGCCGCCCCGGCGGTAACCGCGGGGCAGGGACAGACGCTAC